TCGAACAAAGTGCAGAAAGTGAACGCGTAATAGGAAGGTCGTTTTTGCTTCTTTATTTACATTATTCAGAGTTCTTAATTTATATTGTCTGTATATATCAGTTCAAAAAACTGTTAAACAGTGTGCCTCAAAGGATACTGCACTCTTTCTGTCAAAAGGAACTGTTCTACAGAGAATTTCTGTATAATGTGAAATAGACTTTGGCTTCTTCCTCTGATTTTCAAGTTACATTTGACACAAATTTTAATCGGTGTACATGTACCGAAATAAATGTAATTGCAATTCATGTCTACGCAGTGTTGCACATGAGAAGTACCTACGAGTTACAAGAATATATATGTATCTTGAATGAATCTGAATGTAAGATATCTGGTACTATGTATCGAACAGCACCACCAATTGTGTTTGCAACTTTCCGTGGTGGTGGGATTTGAGTGCTCTTGAGAGCTATACAGGCGGTAGCGTAGCTACTGGTAGAGTCACCTATGTCGGACAGGTCAAGGGGTAGGAGCCAGACAAAGAGATACCCTGGTCCTCCAGGTTGGGTGTTGGGCGTGAGCAGTGGCGGCTCATAGCTAAAATTAGTGGGGGTACAGCTCCAGAAGCGCACAATTCCATACAAAGATTTGGCTACTGACATTAAGCTTAAGGATTATATATTGTATTGTACAAGTATAAAGAAAGAATTAAAGAAAAAAGGACTCATTATATAAATGTTATCGATAATATCAAGTGGAAATTGGGGTTGCTGCAGTTCCGCGGTGCCTATACACGGGCCGCCCCTGGGCGTGAGGTTAAAGAACACTCACACCGTAAATACTAAATTGTTGAGAAACCACATATTTAGCCTCGGATGGATGAAGGATAGAGAAGAATGGAGGCAGATTGTTCAGGAGGCCAGAGCTCACCGTGAGCTGTAGCGCCGAGGGGAGTGGAAGGAAAATGTATCGAACAGACTGCCTTTGTTAATCATATATATAAAATATTTTTCTGTATACCTCTTTATTCCCTCTGTTATAATTTGACTCATTTTTTATGACAAAGTGTTACATGCAACACAAATATATGCCTAACCTTCTTGTCGCAAGTAGGGTGTCTACAAAAAGCGACCACTTCGAGGTCTATAACTTTGTTACCTTGGCATAATAGCTATTGATTCAGGAATGATTGCATATCAAGAATAATAAAATAATACTATTATCAGGACTTCATGTCCCTTTAATGTCGTATAAATATATTTATCTGTACTGGAAAAGCGTACAATTACTACAGCAAAATATTATTTTATAGCTAACACAATTTACGAATAATCGCTTTGAAGAACGGACAATATTTGATAAGCGTTATGTGTTTGTGAAGCGTTATTAACAATTGAACGATAATACACTCCATTAGATTTTACAGTGATGTCTTCATAGATAATTCAGTCTGACTGTAACACTGCTAATCATACGTGAAATTAGTAATCACTGATGTTTGTGCAACTGTCCTTTTTTGACGTCAGATTTTTCAGCAATAACTTTGTGTTGCGGGCCGAACAATTCCCCTCCTAAATGAAGCTTAACGCTGCGTTGACTAGGGGCACACAGAACAAACGCAAATTAGTTTAACCTTCGAAACATAAAGTTCAACTAAATATTTAAAAATTCAGCTTTCCTTCTCAAAGAGAACACCCTGCATCATAATTACCAAGATCAACTCTTGTCTACTGAAATGCTTTTTATTCTCTAATAATGAGAGATACACAAATACAATCTGTGGGGAAATTACTGTGTTTCTGAGACCTGAGTCAGGTTGTTCGTATGTTTGCCACTGTTCTTTAAATTGTTAATTTGATATACATCAGTTTGCTCCTTCTATTATATTTTATCTACTTAGTTTTGTAGGTCAGCATAGTACTGATATTAAATTTATTCATTCTATAATCCTTTCGTTCATTTAATCAAATGTTACATTATATGCCTCTACAGACCTCAAGTCATTTCACTCTTTTCCAACATCTTTCATTACTTACTTATGGAGCTGAGCCTTTCTTAAAAGAGAAGCCAATTCTGCAGCTACTCCGAAATTCCCAGCATTTTATGGAACACGAAGGTTTATTACCGTGTTCACAAGAGTCCTCCACTGGTCTCTATCCTGAGCCAGGTCAATCCAATCCATACCATCCCATCCTATCTCTCTAAGATCCATTTTAATATTATCCACCCACCTACGCCTTGGTCTTCCCAGTGGTCTCTTTCCTTCTGGCTTTCCCACCAATATCCTAGATGCATTCCTCTTCTCTCCCATTTGTGCTATATGCCCTGCCCACCTCATCCTCCTTGACTTGATCATTCTAATTATACTTGGAGAACAGTGTAAGTTATGAAGCTCCTCATTATGCAGTCCTCCAGCCTCCTGTCACTTCATCTCTCTTTGGTCCAAATATTATCCTCAACATCCTGTTCTCAAACAGCCCTCAGTCTATGTTCCTCCCTTAATGTCAGAGACCAAGTTTCACACCCATACAGAACCACAGGAAAAATTACAGTTTTGTATATTATAATTTGTATAATTTTGGACAGTCGACTAGAAGACAAAAGGTTCTGGACTGAATGGTAGCAAGCATTACGCGAGTTCAATCTCCTCTTAATTTCTTTCCGAAAACAGTTAATCAGTGTTCGGTATCATTCCGCCGTCCAGAATTGTCTTGAATTTTTGAGTGGCAAGCTTCACTCACAGCCGGTCACTCTAGCAAAGCGGTCTGAAGAGTGCACTGTCTTCGCTCGCTCGGAAGCCGGGATCGTGGGTTCGAATCCCACTCAGGGCATGAATATTTGGCGTTTTATGTGTAGTTAGAGGCCTTGCGACTAGCTGATCACCCGTCCAAGGTGTCCTACCGAATGTCTAACCTCTAGTAAACCGAAATGAAACGGAGAGTTTCATGGACGTAGGGCAAGGCCCAAATTGAGACTGTAGCGCCAAATAAGAAAAAAGAAGAAGATTCACTTTTCTTCCTTAAACCCCTCAGATTCCCTACATCTGCATGCTTTTTTGGAGCCGAAGTTCCACCCAGTTCTTCATCTTCCTGAGCTTACTTTTTCACTTTACTTGTTTTCATTCTGCGCTTGATTCAGCAATTCCTTATATGTAAGCCCTGCTCTGCATGTTATATCCGTAAACTTACTAATTAATACCCTGGCTATGTAACACAAACTTTCAACACTGTTAACTAATACCAAAGTCTGCAGCTTGAAAGATCCTAACGCACATCTATCCACATCCTGTCCTCTCAAGATCCAAGAGAGCTTACATCAACCCCCTGTCCTCTCAACCCATTTCCCTAATAGCCAGCGTAATGTCATCTTTCGAAGGTTTTGCAACTTGTGTAGCTGAAGAGATGTCGCTGTTTCAAGAAGGAACAGAGAAACGTTGCCTTTTTAATACGGTCATATAACATTTCCCTTTAACACAACAAAAATTTGGGTTTTCGGTCAACCTACCTTTCTCAGATTTAATTTATTTCTTACCGCTACACTTTTCGGTCCTCATGGAACCATCATCAGACAGTATACTCGTGCAATACGACAAGGTTAATTGAACTCCCAACATGCACCCATATTTTTCTGCAACGCGTCCATATTATGAAAGTTATAGAATTTATATATTACGTTACAATGTACTACGTATTTTCAAAAATATTAGAAATTACACAAGGAATGTGTATTTAAAAGTATTAGCAGATAGTTAGGTATTAATATGTTAAAAGGTACTGTATATTAAGAATACTGATGATGGTTCAATGAAGACCGAAACATGTAGTCAATACAGTTTGTCTGAAAACGCATTTTGTGTGTGTTGAAGGATAACCTTACCTAACCATATGTTTCTGACACACAGCGGGATGCACACTGTGAAAATAGCTATCTCTGTACCTTACCGATCGTCCTATTTTCTGCTTTCCATGAGGTCCCAAATCATAAATCTATAAGCATCTCTCTCTTTTGTATCCAAAGTACTCGTTCAGTCATCCAAATTTTCTTTATTTTACTGCCATGCAGATATTAGACAACCTTCATATGTCACAAAGCGCCATCTTAGGTAATATCTTAACGAGATGATTATTAAAGCCATTACAATTCTGACGGCTTGTTTACACAGGAATCATGACCTTCTTTTCCCCAGCACTAGTTGGAGGTGAGTGGTCAGCTTCACTCCTCTGCCGTTTTACCCTCGAGGAAAGAGCCACAGATATCAACTGGATAGGATGTTGGGTGGGCCTCAGAGCCAGTCTGAATGACTTGGAGAAGAGAAAATTCTTGTCCCCACCGGAATTCGGCCACCGACTCCTCGGTAGTCCAGCCAGTAGGCAGCCGCTTTACCGACTGCACTATCCCGGCTCCTACATAGAAATCATAAGGCAACTTAATGTAACCTGATCCGTACACTACTTCAGAAGCATTAATATAGACAATGCCGTTGCCATGAACCTGCAGAAACTGTCGCTCAGTTTCCCCAGGAGTCTCTCTATAAATTCTTACCTGCCCGTATGTACATGGGTCAGCAACACGAAAGCGTGCATTTAGCATTGAACAAAGCTCCTCATGTCCTAGAGTCTGTAAACAGACGGAGGTGCAGTCACAGAATCCTCAGTGCCGACTGAATAGCAGTCTGGGTGGGTCTCACAGCCAGTCTGGACGAGAAGGGATAAACAAATGCTCTTGACTGGAATCGAATATGAGCCTTCAAGATAGAAACCAGTAACTTTAGCGGTTGAACGGTCCCGCCTGTATCTGTGACCAAATCTAAATAGCGCACATTTCACGTTCTTTTTTTTTTCTGAAGAAGAAAATTAGGCATCCTGAAAAACATGGCAGCTCTACCCTACCCACACCAGAACTAATCGGTTCCAGTAGTGCATTACGAGGAGACTGCGAATAAAATTTGTGCCGGAATAGAGACGTGAATATTCATCACAGTAGGACAGAGCAGTGTCATTAACGACTGCTTTCTTCCCGCAGATGGCAGCAACATTAGTGAGAAGAGTTTGAACGGTTCGTCAAACGCAAGGAGAGGTGGAGACGGGGTGGAGCAGCGCCGCATGGTGGACATAACGAGAGACAAGCCCATCAAAGTGACTGTACGGGTCGTTGTGCCGGTTCGAGACCATCCAAAGGTGAGTGAGTACTGGGTGACTGTGCTTGGAGTTTGCTCTTCACTGCAAGATAATGACGGAGTGTGAGTGAGAATGTACCTCACACATACACTTAACGGCTGAGTTTCGATGAATCTCCAACATTGCAAAAATGCTTTAAATTAAGATTAATATGATACATATGCAAAACCTGGTTTCCTGAAGTCGTATTTCTAGTTCTATCAGGAATACAAATATTCGTAACTTTCTAATATAAACGTTGTAATTTTTTTAAACAAAAATTCAAGCTCTTAATTGAGTACCGCGCCATGAGAACAAGCATATATAGACCCAAGGATTGTTAATCCTTTTGCCAGATTGAGGTGAACAATCGGCTTGAACACCCGGCCTCTATATAGGGAAGTATACCCTCGTTACACACACAGGATCTTGGGTAAGCCCCAGATCGGCCTGGACGTCGTGGCAAAGAAATTTTCCCTTCCACTGTCGGGAATCGAATACTGCAATATAGTTCACCTTAATTGGAAAGATACAGTTAAGGAAATTGAAAATTACCTCGGTTCTATTCAAATTATAACTCTCATTCTCCTGTTTCTATAAAAAACTCTTCATCACTTAAACTATAAGCTTATTTATGTATGGTTTATTAAATTGCTCTGAAAATGGCTCAATATTCAGCATTGAATTCTAGCAAAAATAGCGAATAATTAATTGAAAGGGATATTGTAGGAAGCAGTCATGTCCTAATCTCAGATAGTGAATCGGAATTTGCTTGGACGGACTGAGGAAAATCACGAAAATATCAGTCAGGGTAGCCGGTCTCCGGGCCTAGACTTGAAACCCTGACCCCACAAATATGAAGCAAGAACGTTACCGACTCGACGGCAATGTTCGTGCTTCCCGTCTTATTCTTATCTTATATTTATTCCTGGGGCACGCGGTAGGGTAGTTGGTTGAGGCAATATGCTACAAGGCGGAAGGTCGCGGGTTCGAGTAGAGATAAAGAGGATGTTTTCAATTGACCTAATCCTTCCAGCCGAACTATGGCCCTGGGGTCAACTCAGCGTCTAACAGAAATGGGTACCAGGAACCTTCCTGGGGTTGGGGGGGGGGGGGGTTAAAGGGCGGCCGGCGCGTAGGACTGACATCCTTACCGCCGTCTGTCAGCCGATTGTCTGATAATGTGAGACCCTCAACGTCTCACAAACCTGTGGGCCTCAATGGCCTGTTACAGGGATAGCTTTACGTTTTTATATTACTGTTAAGCAACGCTTTCAATAGCTAAACTACATGGAGTTGACTTTCCATATCATTTCATTTCAAAAGAGGTGAGCCATTTTAGCGAAAGTAATAAAAATACTCTTACATTTATAAACTGTGTCCTCTTTTGTGACAAAGGACGAAGACGTGGCTCATGCCAGGACAGGAGAAGTGTTTCTCCTACGCGGCCCTTAACATCACTTCAAAATCCAGTGCTACAAATGCAGCGAACCTGTAACCTTAAAGTTTTTCAAGTACTGTCCGTGACAGCGCATTGATTAATTCATTCGGATGAATTAAGGACGCTGTTTGAGCTCTATGTATTATGTAGCGTCGAACGAGACAGGGAGATGATATTTACCAATGATTTTGTAAGGATCTGAAAGGAGATAATCATTTCTTATCCGCTCTTCTGCCAGGAGAGATTGATGAAAGCAAGAAATCATACTGGCCTAGTGCTTTACACTACACCAGCCTGACCGGTGTCACCTTGTTACTAACTAATACACGGACAGGTCATGCTGGGCCCTGGTCCATGTTTTCCTATAAATTCAAAATGTGACAACGTGGTGTAGGATAAAACGACTTCGAAGCTGTTTATGAACATGTAAATACTGTATGGGTTGAAAGGCAGGAACGGGTCATTCCACTTCGTTGTCAACAGAATCAATGGAAAAGCGTGTGAAATATAATTTTCTGTTCGTTGCAATCATTCGTGAAATTACTCTGTGTTTCATTGCAAACTGAACGATTTTTGTTACACGTGAGCTGAGTCTGTCATCTTTATGTGCCCACTGTAAGGTTACGCAGTACTCTTTTTTTTTTCAAATTATAAAAGAAATTAATCTAATTCTTCGACGGCGTCATCTGTTTTCGGGTCGGTACTCTTCATATTTTCGAGTAGGCCTAAAAGTAGATAGCCTACAGTAGGTTTCAGAAGTTGCTGCCACAAAGCAGTAACCAATTTTCGTCTTATCCTACCAAGCTGCACAATTTATCGCTACGTTTTTCATGTTACCGTCTGGTTAGACAGGTGCATGATGTAATTTTTGACAATTTAATTCCGTTTTCTAACACGAGCAGCGAAATAAGTATGTCGAATTCCTACATTCTCAAATCTGCATTCGTGCTCTCTTGTGTTTCAGCTCACTTTTGTGAAGCGGTAACGCAAACTGACGCCAAATTATTACTGTGATACTTTTATGACATTAGTAAAATATTATTAATACCTCTGAATAACGTTGCGAGTAACAGATTTAGAGGTGGATATCGTCTAGTATTGTTAATAGAGATATAAAACTACAGCCAGGAAGGGGCAAGCATTTTTCTCTTCACCACTGTGCCTAGAGGAGCCGGGGTAGCATAGTTGGTATACCGACTGGCTACGGGCTGGACGACTCAGGGGTCGGAGTTCGAGTTCCGGTAGGGTCAAAAATTTTCTTTTCTCCAAATCTTCCAGACTGGTTCTGGGGTTCACACAATCTACTATCCAATGGGTACCGTGGGCTCTTTCCCCGGATGTAAGTAGGCCGGGGTGTGAAGCTGACAACTTACCTCCATCTAGTGTTGAAGTTAAGAAAATATGGATCTATACTTTCACTCCCCCATACGCCTTCATGTCGTAGTGATTAATTCGTTGAGCACAGGGACAACTTTGTCTTTTTCTCATGGTGTCTAGACCCGTTCTGCCGTCCACCCAGTATCCTGCAGTTCCTTCAACTTCTCCGATTGGGGCGGCGTGAGATTGAGGGGCTTCAACATGAAGGTGACTATCAAATCTTGCCCCGAATAAGCGGGGCTTTTCTTCCTCTCCCCCATACGTCCTCACTGAATGGTGGTTAAGCACAGTAAAACTTTTACCTTTACGCAATTCGAAATCCTGTGCTCTAAATTTGAGTATAAATTCTCTGTTTTTGTTTGAATAGATAAATAATATCGTGGCGATATACATGACAAATTATTGGAGGTGAGATTGTTCAGTCAGTATAAAGATGAGCTACAGACTGGACCGCCAGCTTTCAATTCCAGGCAGAGCCAAAAGTCTTTTCTCTTCTCCGCAGAATCTAGACCATTCCTGAGGCTCACCCAGCTTCCTATCCAATGGGTACCGGGGTTCTTCCTTCAAGAGTAAAAGGGCTGGGGCGTGAAGCTTACCACTCACCTCCGTCTAGTGACGAGGTAAAATGTTGCCGGAGCTATACCTCCACTTCTGCACAGGTTTTCATGGCGTGGGGCTTAATTAATTACGCACAGATACAACTTAATTTTACCTGTATGAAACCATTGTTTTAAGTAAATAGATGTTACAATTTGACGATATAAATTATTCCAAATCCTTCACTCTCCCAGATGGCCCAAGAGTAACCCGATGTACATGTGTTTGGGATGTTCTCCAGTTCCTAGTGCAACAGTTTACGAGCTCCCGGGAAGTTCAGGTTACGTAAAGTTAGTATTTCCTTCCGACGCCATGATACTGGATAGTTCGTCACTACAGGTACTAGCTGAGGACTTTACGACCGGGAATGGATTTCCATCACAGAAACTGAGTCTGTATTTCACGATCACGTCCAGAATGACCGTTGGATCATGCCAACTCGTTGTCCAACTTACACCAAGGACCCTTCATCAAAGGATAATTCCACAGGACTGTAAAACTCACAACTCACTTCCTTCTAGTGCCTCCTAGGTTAAGAATCCACTTTCATGATATGATGCTGAAAGCAAGGCCGTTACCTGTTGCATTTATGTCCCTCTGAAAGAGGCTTCAAGCCAAATAGCAGCGTGCTGTGGGGGGAGGATAGAACTAAGTATACTAAGACCGCGGAAAGAAGTCCCATGAATAACGGGAATGCCAGCGCTCAAGACACCCCTCTCTGCCTTCTGCTGTATTTCCTTCTAGCCTTGTTTGCTAATACCAACCAGCTCAGAGCTCTTTTCGTTAACGATGTTATCACTGTCAATATTCCAGTGCACATAATTGCTAAACGACTGGAGGGGAATGCAATGAAGTACGCTTTAAGGGGAACTGTAACATGTTGAGCGCGATGTGGAGGGGGTAAAGCTGTTAAGACATCTTACCGCGGTCTCAGTATAACCAGATGGAGCCGAGTACTCCTTGAGAAACTAGTAATCTCTTAGCGAGAAGAAGAGATCCCCACTCTGTGAAGAACCCGAATATATATTACCGTATTTGAAGGAGCTGTTGCTGAACCCAGTCCTGAGCAAAATGAATTCAGTCCGTACCCTCCAGTCCTACTTCTTTTGCTTGCATGATTGAACTGCTTGTTCAGTAGAAGTCAGTGTTACCCTTGCATTCTTCATATACTGAATTCGAAAACACGATCTCTCGAACGCAAGAAGTCCTTTAATCGATAAATATTCATACTACGTCTTGCCCAATAGTATCTGCATAAGTATATTTAGAATGATCAACTCAAGGAGGATGAGATGAGCAGGGAATGAAGCAAGAATATGGAGAAGAGGACTATATAAGGTAATGATGAGAAAGTCATAAGGAAAGAGACCACTAGGAAGACAAAGACGTGGGTGGGTGAACAATATTAAAATGGAACTTAAGGAGACAGTATGGGATGATACGGATTGGATTGATATGTCTCAGGATAGAGACTAGTGGAGGGCTCTTTTGAACACGGTAATGAACCTTTGGGTTTCATAAAATACTGGGAGGTTCCTGCGTTGCTGCAAAATTGGCGGCTTCTCACGAAGGTCTCACTCACTACCTCGACATTTGCATTGCAGTA